ATTATTGTATAAGTAAGCACATCGTGAGCAATGTACAATCCTGAGTCAAATTCCTCGTATGTGTACACATACCTGGCAATAAAACTGATTGTGATTCTGATCTTTTTTTCTATGATGCTGCAGTGTCAAATAAGTTTCTCTTTTTTAATAGTCATATCAGCTGTCGCCGATGCAGATATATCTGTAAGTAGCTGATATCGGCCAATAATATCTGCAAAATGATAAATCGGTCTGGCTCTAATAAAGACGATGGTCTAGACATGCTCTTCATGACAAGTGCACTGAGATGGCGAGTTTTAGGCGCTATGTAAAATGTTGTTGAAGTGCTTTGTTATAGTTCTAATTAAGTATCTCATAATTAAGTTTAATTAGTACAAAATGTGTTTTACTCTTGTGTGGGGGACATCTGAAAACAACACTCTGGCAACAAACTGGTTTGTTTTGGAAGAAAATACACTCTCCAAAATGTCTGGTTGTCTGCTAAAGTGGCTGGTGGCCTAAATCTTACCTGCTACAATGCAGGATCCCCACACTGTTTATCTGTTGTTCCCATACCAAGAGAACCATAGATCACAGGTGTAGTTGGACAGTTGGAAGCACCTCTCTACAGGATGAGGATCAGAGTGATGAGACAGATTAAGCCTCTGATACCACTGTTCAAACAGAGGGAGGCATGACTCCAGTTTGCTAAACAGGCGGTGGAACCACAGACATTCCAGTTAGCTATTTCCTCCCCATTAAAGGAGCAAAGTCTCTGTCTGCTTCTCTCATTCTGTCTCCCTCTATTTTTAGCCGCCTCTGAGATGAGAGACGACCCACCACTGCGGCGGTGGCAGGCGTGAGTGGGCGATGGTATAGCAAGAGTAAGAAATATTGATAGAAAGAAAGAGTGTAAAAAACAGAGCAACAGGAAGAGACAGGAAACAGGAAGAAAAAATGGAGAAAATATGCTGAAGTTAAAAGCAGCATCATTTTTTATTGCTTGGAAATCTTGGAAAGTGTAATCTACACTGAAGGTGTGACAATGTTCTGCCCTTCCTATAGCCTGCTAACCTAAGTGAAGACATATCTACAGCCTACTGTATGCTGTTGGCTGGGGAATCACATTATACAGGCATGATAGGAGAAAAAGACAGGTAAGCAAGGAGGAACGATGTGTTGGAGAAAAAATATAGAGAGGGTTACATTGCGAAGGAATATGGACATATGGAGTGACAGGGAGAGACACTAAAGAGACTAGATTCTTACTGCAAGCAATATGGTTGTCGATTAACTCAACTGTAGGCAGAGAAAGAGGCTGCAGTTCATACAAAGTATTAATCAGGCAAATCATTTATTTTTAACTGCTGTGGTACTGCTGTGTTTTCCCATTTATAAATTGACATTGTTAGCTCACTAGTACATACTAATAGGGTAGCAATATCTAAAGATAAACACACACACACAGACACACACACACACACACAGTTAAATAAACAGCAAGACACCAGCTACAACATTCATTCCAACATTATCGCTAATGGCTGCAACCTCCCTCCAAGCATTGTTGTTCCTGTTGTCTTTCAACTAAATGTAGAAGCTTGGGAAGCTAAGAATATTTCTAATTGGGTTCTCATTATTTGGAGTTGTTGATAGAATAAGATCACATGACTGATGACTATTAACTAAATGTTTCATAGTTATAAGACAAACAATCACATCTCAGCTGGCAAAGTTGTTAAATGTTTACAGTATGTTAATATTCCAATTTTTTTTAGGATTGAAAAAAAATGCAATGAAGACCAAATCCAACAATGATTTACAGTGTTACATGCACTGTGTTGCCTGTTATCTACCCCCTGATGTAACTTATACCTCTGTGCCACAGAGCTCCATTGTTAAAAATCTATTTTAAAAAATCAATAAGCCACACTGTTGTATTGCGTGACATGGTTTTTTTTTTACTATGAACACAGGCACTGTCAATTTAGAGTCAATCCTACAGCCATCAGATTTTGTGGATCAAATCCAAGTCTTAAAAAAGAATAAACTTCCTCGTGTAATCTACTGTATAGGATGTGTAATTGGAGTTGCTTTTATTTTTCCTACTAATTAATAAATTCTTATTTTAGACTACTGTAAAAGACCTTGCTTATTCAGAAAGGTCTTCTTACTTATAAGCCTTATTTGATGTTCAATAAACACTATCTAACTGTTTCCACTGAACTTTACACACATTTTGCACAAACATCAAAAGTTATACGTGTGAGTTCAGCTAATAGATAGGAGTTTCTCTGTCCATCTCGGTGGTGTGGTGTCCCTCAAGGTTCTGTCTTTGGCCCTATCATATTTTCTTCATATATATACTGCCCCTGGCATCCATTTTTGAGAAGTATGAGGTCTCTTTCCACTGTTTTGCAGACGACATAAAAATTTATTTGCCCTTGAATTTAAAAACATAATGCTTACTACCCCTGCTTGACTTTCTAAATGACATCAAAACATGGGTAAGTCTAAACTTCCTTAACTTAAACTGAGACAAGACCGAGGTCATAGTGTTTGGACACCCTGAATTGCTTGATGTCGGTAGCCTCTGCCCTATAGCTTCTAATAATCGCTCATTTGTGAAGAGTTTTAGGCAAGGATTATACTTTCTGTGTCCACGAGTACGCGAGGGGTCGCTAGGGTCCGCATAAGTAAGTAAGTAAGTAAAAGTTTATTTCTATAGCACCTTTCACAGGTATAGGGCCACAAAGTGCTTCACAACAAAAACATTAATATCATAAAATACACACAATAAAAGCATAGACAGTACATGATCATATCAACCCACAAGTAGCTAATTGAAAGCCTGAACAAATAAATGTGTCTTTAGTCTGCATTTGAAGGCATCAACAGAATCAGAAGAGCGCATAGATGGTGGAAGGTCATTCCACAACCTAGGGGCAACAGCCTGAAAAGATCGGTCACCTCTAGTACGGTAGCGAGTGCGTGGAACCGTCAGCAGGTTCTGATCCACAGACCTCAGAGCACGCACAGGGGTATAACGCTGAATCAGGTCACTAATATAGGGTGGAGCCTGGCCATGTAAAGCTCTGAAAACTAAAACCAAAATTTTAAAATTTATCCTATAAGACACTGGTAGCCAATGAAGTTCTTTTAGGATTGGTGATATGTGAGACCTCCTATTAGTACGTGTTAAAATTCTGGCTGCAGAGTTTTGTACTAATTGCAGTCGAGAGAGCTCCTCGCATGACAAACAATCATCAGAGGACGTCTGCATGCCTCCCATTTTTTGTGAATTTGCGGCCAGGTCCGTGCGCCGACTAGTGCTACCAGTGCAACAACTGATCTGCTGCGCATATGTCGAACGTGTCCTCCAACTGACTGCGTTGGGGTAGTTACTAGGTAATGTATTACACATTACACATTACTTTTTTTAAAAGTAATGCCTTACTTTACTAGATTATTCACTGCTGAACGTAACTAGTTACACTACTAGTTACATTACTTTTGGATTACTGCATAACATCACCTGTGATGCACAATAACAATATAAACACCTCATATATGCTCAGATCAACACAAATCCTTATTATTACGAGTACATACACAGGATCTCTCTTTTATGCTCTTTAATACTACAAAGCTGACAACAAAGTTGTGAACATCAGCCCAACAATTGTCAAGAGAAGAACAAGGCTAGAGAGATCGCGGACCGACCGGCCCTCTGTGGACAGTCAGTAATCGTTCCCTCTGGCTGGATGAAGTCCAGATCCATGATGATAGAGAAATATAGAAATTAATGGCAATAAATCATGCTGTCAATATTTTAGAGACTCTCCAAAATATCCAAAATAATGCTTTTAGGGGAGTCTTATAAAGGGGTGCTAAGCTCCCCCTGCTCCCCCATAGTTCGCACCCTGGGCAGAAGTCTCTCAAATCGTTTGTCAGACAACCTGTTCCTCCTCAGAGTCAGCACAAGACTGCTCGTTGGTTTTTGAAGAGCAGTTTTGAAGCCTGAATTGGGTGGAGCTGGTCGTCGCCATCTTGGCACCGCGTCACTGCGCGTCACTTCCGGATAACCATAAATGGGCAAAGAGGCGGGTCGTGGGTGGAGCTGAGGTGTCGTGTTGCTGAAACCACTACCCCCTTGCTCGACATGACCAAGCTCATGCTAAGGAGCTAATGCTATATGCTACTCTGTGTTAGCAGAGCTAGCTTCTAAACCCCACTTTTAAATGTCTTAATGGATTGCTGCCGCCTCACCTAGTGGAGCTTCTTCACGTTCACACCCCAGCCAGAGTGCTGAGATTGACCAATCTCCTCTTCCGGAGGCGCCTAAAAGTTTTCTCAAAACCAGAAGCAATCAAGCCTTTGGTGTAGCTGCTCCCAACCGGAGGAACAACCTGCCATTCCATATCAGATCACTCTCGATCGCTTTAAATCACTGTTAAAAACATATCTCTTTGCTTTGGCTTTTCCTTCAAATTAAGAAATTTCTTATCCAGGGTGATTTTATTATCATTGTATATCATTTATTCTATGATATGCGGTGTACTTTAATGTTTTATTGCTGTAGTTTTACATTGTAATTACTATTTCTGTTGAACTTTTACCCTGTAAAGCACCTTGGTCAACCTTGGATGTTGTAAGTGGGCTAGATAAATAAAGATGATTGATACTGATATTGATCTGAACATTTAAAACAGCTACTTTTGCTTTGTACTTTTACTGAATGTGTTGAGCCAAGCTTGCAGAATACTGTGTGTACGTCATGATTTCTTCATTGACAACAAGTTGTGCTTTATGAGAGAACACATCTGTGATACTGGACATTTGAATACATTGAAGAACAGACAAACAGCCGGGTATAACGTAGAGTCTGACAGAGAGGTGAGAATGAGATAGATAATGCAGAAATAAAAGATAGTAAATGAAACAAGTGGGTCATAAAGACCAAGAAAAGCATTTCTAAAGGACAGTTACGCAACACTAAAGAGAGCTGCTGCTCTCTGTACCTGCTCGTGGTGCTCAATGCCCATGCTGATGGTGTTGATCAAGATGGCGATCATGATGCCTCGGTTGAAGTATTTGCTCTCCACGATTCCCCACAGCTTCCTCCTCGTCTCGCGCCACAGCTCATTACATCGCTTCTTAGGACTACAGCCGCCATGGCTCCCTGCACCCTCCTGGCCTTTTTTGCCCTTCTCGTTACTACCAGAATGTACCCCCTCCCTGTCCGTTTCCTCCACCGCTCCCTCCTCTGCTTCATCATTTACTGCACTGCGAACTGGTCCCACCCCATCAGTGAGCAACAGGGCTGCGGCACACTGTGGGCAGCCTTCAGTGGCGTTGAGTGCCGTAGGTTCAGCGGGTGAGCCATGATCAGTTTTATTATGGTGGGGACAGGTTGCACCTAAAGTGGAGCAAATGGAGGTCATTAAAGGGTCAGTGTATAAAGCATGCACCTAAATACTACTGTCTTTGAATATTTTTACATACCGTGCCTCCTCACTGCTCTCCTCTCATGTCCTCCCCTTCCATTGGCATTCCTGTGCCTTCCTTCTCCTGCTCCTCTACCTCTTCCGGCGCCCCGAAAGCCGCGGGGTTTCCCCCGCAATGTGTTGAAAAGGGCAACAGTTTGTCTCCTGGCCTTGCGGAGGATGTGGCAAACCAGCTGGAAGAGTTCCTCGTAGCAGTCCCCAGGTTCACTGGCCAGGGTGGAGGAGGACGAACACCGTGCTCGCTGCTCCTGCATCAGCTGGTGCTCCCTCTGCTTAGTCTCTGAGAACTGGGTGGCGATGACCACGAGGCATAGGTTGATCATAAAGAAGGAACCAACCTGGGAGGATGAGAGCAATACAAATACCCAATATGTTTGTTATACCACCATAAACGCAACCATATAAAAATGATTGTTTATCCCAAACTGTAAAATATTTTTATGAGCTACATTTGTAAACATTGGCATGAAATAGTACCAGACCCATAATCTCAGCTATTAGCAGTCAGTTTCTGCCAGCTAATCACACAGAGTAAAAAACTCTCAGCAAGATGGCTCTAGGCCAGCTGTTGCTACCTCTAGCCTGTTAGCCCACTTGGCTGGACAAGTCTAAACATTACACATTAGACAATATGGTTACAAACAAATCTGCTGTGGTTTCAGTGAAAACACTCAAGATAGTGAGCTGTAAACTCTGTCTTTTCTCTTGAGTGTATGATGGTATTTTGCTAACCAGCAATGGTTTAGGCATAGCTAAAATTTACCTATTCGCAGTGGCAGCCTTAAGCATCTGAGGACCTTATTCAAGAGCAAATGTGGGGCTTTACCCAACGCCGTGATGGGGCTGGTTGGCACAAATGCACAACATCATTTTAATCACAAATCATCAATTTTAGAAAACAGTTGCACAGATAAAAATATATTTATTTAAGAGACCTTAACCTTTCATTTTCTGGTGGTTATAAAATTCTGACATAAACAATGCCATAGAAATAGAGAGAGTAAAAAATGCCCCAGCCAATCCCAGTCTTTCCAACACAGGGACGCAGACACAAGTTCAGTATATATAATGACAGCATACTAAATGGTGCATGATATTCATGTATTTTGTATTAAGTAGTTATTAACTACAAATTACAACAATCTCAGAATGTTACTATAGCAAACTATAGCAAACAGCAAACTTGAACATCAACATTCTGTATATCAAAGCAGCCACAGCAAGTTCACAGTCAACAACACAAAACTAATCCATGAGATCTCCAAGGAGATGAAGTGGGACAGACGTGGGAGATGAGCATATATAACGTGGATCTGTCTGTTTGTCAGAGACTCTAGTAACTTATGCAGTGTAATTCATACACTTCACTCATAAACCACATAATTGTAGGCGAACATAAGGCTTCATGATCAAAGAAACATTTCTGTCATTACTTGTTCCGACTCTCTCGCTCTTCTACATGAGCTCGCTCTCTCTCACCTTCAAGTCTACAGTTTTTATGAATTGATGTTATTTTTTTTATAATGCCTGAATTTAGTTGGTGCTGCAGCCCCCCAAACAAATCTACTTCCCATGTCCATGTCTATGCACTTGTGAAATGAGTAGTTTATTTTAAAAGTGGGTGAATTATTCAATTATTGTATGTCATTTAGGGCCATTTGGATGTAGTGACCTCCAAAGGGCAACTGGTGAAACAGCTCAGCTAAGGCTGCCAATGCCTAGTAGGGGAGGGGACCTCAGGACTTTGATGTTATAATTCAATATGCTAACATAGCTTTCTTTTTTGATCATAAAGCTTAGACTGACAAGTATTACCCTGGAACATCATGCGATGTAGGGATATACTCCCCAGGACCCAAGGATATTTCTATTTTATCACTGAAACATAACATACTATTACCTTGGCTAGCACCGGTACTTTATAGTAGCAATATAGGAGAAGTGATTTTGGGCAGCCCTGGTTCAGAGTTAAAAGACCCATTCATTTTCTCCAGAGTGTGGATGCTAGATGACTCACAGTTAGAGTACATCCACAGAATGGATGGACAAGAAACTCTCCTGGTTGAATCATCAGAACAAAAGATGAACTGTGTTAAAAATGTAATAATGTTCTTTAATAAAAAAGTATAACCCTATGCACATAAAAGCATAACATTACAAGCAAACTATGACTGCCAGAATGCATTTCAGAAAGAAATATCCAATCACAGAGCTAACCCCAAAATCACAAAAGCTAAAAACTATGCTCTTGACAAAACTGACTTTACATTCTGCAGCTAAAATACATTTCCTTTTGGATTCTGGGTCAATTTTGGATGCATTTGGAAACTATGGCCCTGTGTTTTATTGCAAACTTACAGTTATGGGTTTTGTGTTCGTAAGTTTATTTTGGTAAACTGTTCCTCTTGTGTTGTTGTTACTTTGCTTCCTGACTAAGTTCACCTGTGTCTCATTATCTCCTCACTAGGGTATTTAGTTGGTCTGTTCCCCTCATACTGCGCCATTGATGTCTTTTGTCCAATGGCCATGTCCAGCTTTTTTTCCTATAATCTGTTTCCCTGAACTTTGCCTGTTCTTTGAATTTTGAATGTTGGACTTTGGATTTGTTTGCTTGTGTTGGACTTTATGCCTTGTTTAGGTACATTGGGTATCCGTCCCTTAAGGTTCTGTCATGTTAGCCAAAACTTTGAACACAGCAGATGCCGGAGGCAGAGCAGGTGCATTTCAATTATTTATTCTAAACCACAACAGGGGCAAACTTACAGGATGGTGATAAAGCAGGGAGGTTCAAGGTTCAAAATAAAAAAAACAGATAATCCAGAAAAAAACAGGGAAAGATACACAAGGAAAAAAGGCTGGAACAGTGATGAACTGGCACAGAGTGAGGGGGACAAACCAACTAAATACCCTAGTGAGGAGGAGCTAACGAAACACAGCTGAACTTAATCAGACAAGCAGGGAGCACACAGACAGGACACAAAGTTTACAACACAAGAGAAAGGGTTTACAAAAGTAAAAAAGGATAAAACAAATGAAAAACCCAAAACTGTGACAAATGAGTATTGTTGTAGCCTATTTCAAGCCATTCACCATACCAAACTAACAGAAAAGGCATGGGTTCCAAGAATAGAAGTTGAAATAATTCAAACTGATCATAACAAACAATTATAGCCTTGTTACATATCAGACTCAGATATGTTTTTAATTAGTTTCACTGAGAATATCATTAAAAGAAAAAAAAATGAAATGGAAATAAATTTTCTCCAGAGTGTGGAGGAAAATGGGGAATAATACTCGCAATTCTATGGCCTCAATATTTCTGCCCCAGAAAAGGGAAAAAACACTGAGCTATCCTTTCGAAGATTAGAATGGTCATCCAGCCCTGTGGGGAAATTGGTGCAGTATATAAAATTCTTATAAAATTTTAAATGTTTTCATACTAGTTTGTTGTCTATGCCTCCCACACATACTCATCTTTCTGGAGCACAAACCTAATATCATAGCTGGGAACAAGGCTATCACAGGGTTTTAATGTAGTAAACTATAACCATTTTTAAAGTTTACTACATTAAAACCCTGTGATAGTTGATTGTACATTTTCCCAGCTATAATTTTAAGTTTACAATAAAGAAATGCTAACAGTATTGACACTTGTTTCAAAACGTACTTTCTGCAATTTCTTTGTAGAACCTGAAGCGTTAATTTTAAAGGGAGCAAGGATATCTAACATTCCATGGAGAGAGTCCATGGAATGTTAGATTGTTAGCAGCCTTTGCTTAATATTGATATATGCTATATATTAATAATTTCTATAAAAAAACATTTTTAGAAGTGTATGAGAAAGCTCTAAGGTATGCTGTGTTGGATGTGTGATGTTTTAGGATCACTTTCTGTTCACTGAGCTAGAAGGCGAGAGAAAAAGAGAGTAGAAAAAGGGCAAGGTCACCAGGAGAAGCAGAGCTGATGTGGAAAAAAAGGTTGAGAGAAAGCAAGAAGGCAGAGAGAGGGATGGAGTGTAATGCTCTCTAGGTTGTGATCAATAGTGATTGTGAAGCCTGATAACCCCCTTCTGCCCTCCATCTGAATCACTGTGGAAAGACTATGGAAGTGCTGGGAAAAAAGGCAAGCAGACTTGTGTGTGTGTGTGTGTGTGTGTGTGTGTGTGTGTTGTTGTTGTGTGTCAGTGTGTGTAAAAATGTTCTTCATTGATCCAAAGCAGAAATTTGTGGTCAGACTGGCTGGTTTTCAATCCTGCTCTCTGGACTCATGGACTGAAGGGGAGGCAGTGGGTCCCAGCACACATTCAGCACCCTCGCTGATCCCATCAAATATTTATACTCACACTCTGCTGGAGCCACTGAAATACAATTAGATGAATGCGTGGGTGTGTGTGTGCGTGTGTGTATGTGTGTGCGCAGTTTTAACCCAGAGGGAGTTGGACCAGCTCTTAAGCCTCTTTTAGCTCATTGTTTTGGTTTTTACAGCACATTTATAGTTTGGTTAGGTGCTCTAATCAACCCGGTTTCCAGCAACAGCTGGCAGCTGTTTTAACAAACAAACTAGGCTACTGATAGGCCTACAGTACACTACCCAGTATTATTGTCTCACAAATCACCTTCTGCATGTGTAGTGAAGGTACTAAAGGTTATAAATAAGCAAAACCCTAGACCAGGGGTGGCAGTTTTCTGCATTCACTTGCCCATCTTTTTGGTTCTGCCATGTTTAATCAACTGAGTTAAATGTTATCCATCATTGTAGGCAGGCTCTGAAATGTACTTTTTTCACTACCTGCCCACTGGAGCAGGCAAGAAATTGTTTCTGCCACTTGATACAATGAAATGTATGAGCTAAATGAAGGAATAACATTCAGCTCACTTAGGCATCATTTGATGTAAATAGTGTTGTAATTCAATGTTGAATATACTTACAAAAATATTTACATGCATGTTTGCAAGCACAACAAACCTCTGTCTTTTAGTACATAACAATCACTCCACCAAACTTAATAGAAATACTAATTTTGAGTTTCAACAAAAATATAACGTGATACCTCATGCCCCTAATAGGTAAGCTTAGGGATTCTCTGACAACACCGGAGTCACCCTCTGTAATCTGGCCACTTCGCTGCTGGCAAGCTAACAGGGTGTCACTCAGGACGGACTGGGGGCCGTAGTTTGGCCACCCCTGCCTTAGACCCTCTTGGCTTATTTCCATCCAATACACCAAAAACACAGCAACAGGTGGGGGCATTACAAGACAAGACATTAATTAGGTGTCGGTATTCGTATCCATGTATGGGCTGAATGCTAATACCAGGTATAAGTAAGGGAAAGAGGGATCAAATGAAAAGGCTAATCACACTGTGCACCTCTGTAACAAAACAGTTTGAGGTTGGCATTTCCGGATGTTAAACCTTAATTCCACAGGGCCAAGCTATTTTCGTGGGAAGCCTTTAATTCCTCCTAGTTGTCTGGTCTAAACTGCTC